AAGGGGAAAATGTTCTCGGTAGACAAAATCTCAGTTATCGAAGCTTCTTTAAAGCGAGAGATTACAATAAAGTGCGTGAGCGAGCATGGAAGTACATGCACCAGTGGAAGCAGTAGCCAGGGGCCTGAGGAAGCCAGATGTGGCCTTTTCGTGGCCGAAGGCACGCTACTTCAACTCCATGAGGCTGCCCATCCTTTCTGAGCCCCGCCTCCGCCACTGCTCCGCCCATGCGTGCTGCTGGAAGCATCATCGTTCTGATCTTCTAGATAAGGTATTCCACTCGAGGCATGCATAACTTTCCCATGGAAAACGTCATCAATCAAAGCATGATCTTGCTGGAATGATAGCGGCTATCGGTTTATGTGCAAACGACCTCCTAATTGGTTGCTAGCTCGTCCATTATCGGAGGTCAACGGGCAAAGAAAGGGGTCCCATTTTGCGCGTTCTTGACGGATTTCTTTTTTCGCCACTGGGCATTATTCAGCATCCCCACTTCCACTATGAACCCAACCCAATCTCATCGTAATCCATCGCTTTAAAAACCCTTGCAGCGAGTGGACGCTCCTGAAAATTATAGAAATCTCTCGAGAACTTTAGAATCTCTTGAAGAAGGAGCAGAAGTAGGCAGCAGTCTAGTGACGGAGTAAAGCTTTTCACAGCTACCATTAGCGCCCTCAAGCTGTTGCAAGCCCATGATGAAGTATGCGCTTTTCCGCCCCATTCTATATCTCGTAATGAATGGGTACCAGAGATCCTCCTCTGGTCCACGAGAGATGAGACTCGTTCTCCCGTCAACACTGAGTATTGACCTCGGCAAAGAAAGTCCTCTCATTCCGTTCTGGTCACGGGAAGAGGTTTAAGAGGGCTCAGTTCAGGCAGAAAACACTGCTATTCACCTGCCTATATCGTTCGAGCAAATGAAGAGCAGTGGTATGCAGTTTGGTAAGGGCACTGATACATTCGAAAATTCTCTTCGCTTACTGGTACTGCATAAGTTGCCGAGCCCTTGCTAACAATAGGACGGAGTATATTCGGCCCGGACAAGCTTTACGGGGCCAGCGAGTATGGTACTAGTTGAGTCGATCTGGAGGGATGGAACTTGGTTGACCTGGTCGGCGATGATCCAAGATTTCATCACGGAACTGAAGCGCGTGAAAAGCAGTGTCACCTGCCATTGCATCACTGTCGCCCACCGTTCGCTGTTACATCGGCAAGAAGCTCAAGTCAAGAACTCTACGTTTACAACTGAGTCAAATGCCTGACGCATCTGAAGCCGATGAAAGCCAAGATTTAGCCCACTTGTGGGTTGCCAACAGCAAGATTAGGTCCGCAAAACAATCACTGAGAAAACACTCAAGTCACTACCCATTACTCGAAAAGCTATGCAACATGTAGAACCACCGTGAATGAGACTCCTTGCAGGTCCCGTGCCAGCAAACGACACAGCAGTCGACCCAGCTGAGTTCACGTCCCATGTCAGCCATACTCAGTTTCCGCAGTGGGCGGTGATAGACAATAAGAGGCAGCCATCGCTCGTAAAATACCAGCAGAGGGCATTATTGCCGCAAATCTTTGAGTCCGGAGCGTCGACTTGCCCCTCTTGTTGCAGTCCCACCCACTTTGTGATTGTCACCACCCACTTTGTGAATCTAGAACAGTTTCTATTCTCGATCCTCTTAATGCGTTCCTCTGTCACCGATGATCTTGATCGTCGCAATCTCAAGATCCAACTTATTCTCCTTGGTCTCTAAAGGTACTAGTAGGGCGATGAGGAGTGTGTGAGGAGAAAAAAAGGAAAAAACTCCATGACGCTGGGATTCCCTTTGTCAGGTCGGCAGTGGTGACGGCAGCGCTGCAAAGAGAGCGAGAGAGTACGTTGGCGCGAGAGGCACAAACGCCAGGTGTGCTGCAATTGATAGAGTGGCAGCACCGGCAGCGTACAAGTTAAGGCCTTACCATTAGCGCCCTTGCCGCGCACTTTGAGTCGCGGTAGTGCTGCGACCTCGGCTTGGGGCCCCTCTTTCTCACTCCAGGAAGGAACTACCTCATCGCGACCCGTGGCTTTAATTCAATCGGTACTTGATCCTGTGTACTTAATCCCTTTTTCACCTGCGAGCGCAATAGACGGAGACTTACAAATAATTTGCTGTTCTCCTCTTTGTCGATGTACTGATCACAGAACATGTGAACAGAACCACATACCACAAGTCTGCCATTTGTGCTCTGCAAAAGAAGAGACTGCAGTCAGACGAGCACCAGCAAATGTAACAAGTTTTCAATAATCAAAGGAAATTCGACGAACTTCGGTCTCGTGAAAAGCCACCACAGGCCTTCCTATAGGGAAGCATGCACTGCCGTTGACAGCACAGGAGTTGAAAGACGATTTACAGAAAGTGATGCTCCAAACGGGTAGACAAAGGAGATTGTTCTGAAGAGTTGTTTCAAGTTGGGAAGAATTCTTCAAATAGATATTAGGAAAACTGACTTACTGTGAGTTACTTTGCTGATCATTGGATACGTTCTTTTTGGCAGCTATCGCTATGCTTCTATTCAGAACGCCATTCGAAATCAAGGCTTCTTTAGACAATATTTGTGAGAAAATACTCGAATACCAGCATCTAGTAAACCTACTGGGACAATTTAACAAAAGTTAATTTGTTCCAACCATTCTATTTCACTGCTTTCCTTGCGATGGAGGCCTCGCCATTTGAGAATGCTGTACTGTATCAAGTCCTAAAGCAAAGCCCAAACTGTGTATTAGGCGTCAGGAGGGACGAGCAAATCGGACGTGAACTGAAGCTGCTGAAAGAGGAACAAAAATAATCCATAATGCCAAAATGTAGGAGCACTTATTTGCAGTGGGGAGCGTTGCGATGGTGGCAGATCCATAACGACTGGCGCCCTAACTAGGCCTTTTCTGCAACAAAGCTTGCAAGACCCCTGTTGGTACGGACCCAACACGTTTACTGGCGTTTAGGAACCACGCCACCAGTGGACGTATTGGTTCCTTACTACAGGGGTCGACCGTAGTGGGGCCCGCTCTCTGCCTCCAAAGACAGGTGCTACAAGTAAACTCGACAGTCACTTTCTCGCGGAAAGCTAAATTACCGAAATTCTCGAATCCTTCGAAGAACAACAAAACCCAGTCAGAGTTTATGAGTAGGCGCCCTAACACGGACCACTAGACATGGCTAGAGAACTCAATAACAATTATAGAGAGATGGTTATAGATGAGTTGTTCAGTATGCTGCCTGTTGTGTTCGACCAACCAAGCCACGTTAGAAAAGTGCAAGGTCAAATTGAAAAAAAAAATCAGTTGTAAATAGGAGTCGTTTGTTGTTATGACCAACACGATCTTTTTGTGGAACTCTATGGAATGGATTCATTTGTGGATTTATTTGATCTGAAGATAAGTGAATATCTACTTGACAAAAATGAGCTGTAAACTGCACCGCTGTTGCCGACAATTCCGAATTCCTCAAGAAGAAAATTTATATTTGTATCGGCTTGTTGTTCTCCTCCCTCCGACAGAAGTACTAGCACTGCTCCGCCATTAGTTATGAAACGTCCGATTGCCTCCATCTAAAATTTCGGGGTTTAGTCGAAATAAAAATCACTGTGTAAAGCTAGCTACAACACGTGCGCATTCTGTCAGACATGCGAAGCGGGAAAGGATATTGTGGGATTAAACTTTGTGCGAAAAAACCAAGTAAACGAGAAGGTGGAAATATTGCGCTTTATCTAAAGAATTTGAGAGCATGCACTCTTCAGTAAAGGAGCTATTATAAAAAAGGAGGAGAAAAAAAAGACATCTTTTACATTCGGGATGAAACACTAAAAATACCAAGCTCAAATCTGATCCATCCAACCGATGATTGAAATGCACTTTTGAATTTATCGAACAAGCTCCGTAAGAGCTTTCTATAGATGCCCCGTTGTATCAATATCGCAACGCGAGTTTTGAGCTTAACCGATCGTGGACCATTATAAAGTTTTTCTACGGACAGCACGGGTCCCCTAGAACTGCTCTCTCTAGGAACTGCCTACCATCGAATCCGTTGAAGAGATCAGGTAGTGACTTCAGCTATAGTATCCGTCGAGACTTGAGTTGGCGAGGTCTTTGGTAAACCTCGCCAACTCAAGTCTCGACGATATGGCCGAAGAAGGTACAAGCTGTGAGCTAGAGCTTGCCTTCGCTCATGAGGGCTGAGGACTTTTCTGCTGTAGGACATCAATCAATGATGGTGCCAAAAAGTTAGCTGATGTTCGCAAGAGCTCTTTTTGCCCAGGAAGTTTTTCTTCGCTTCCTATTCGTACATTCGGTTAGGCCGCATTTGTGCGATATTTTATCGCTAGTGTTTTTATTTTTTTGCGGATAGTGGGTGGTCTGGCAAACGTGACGCGCTTACACGCCGACGGTTCAGGGATCACAATCCTGCGCGGTAGTTGAGTCGGGCCAACCAAGCCTTCCATCCCTCCGGGGTCGGTTAATTGGTACCAGACTTGTCTGGGAGGATAAAAAACACTGACTTGAACATCGGCTGGCCCCCGCAAGTCATTGTATAGGCCACATCGCATTCAAATGCCACTGCGAATGTACAAATGGAAGTAGAATGCGTGCCGCATCCCAAAAGGGATTGATCAACGGCAAATGCTTTATCCTTTATCCTTTTATATCAAAGAAGGGCCGACTGGTAGAGAAGGTCCCCCTGTCGCCAGCTAACCAAAGTATTCATTCAAAATAAGAGGATTCCTCACGTCGTGATGTGAAAAGCTTAGTCCTTTAAGGCGGCTGAGCCGAACAAAATGTTTCTATAAAAATCTGAATAGCGAGGTGAAAACAGCAGTTTCCCGGCAGCCTCCTCGCCAATATTAAGGCCAGATATCTCAGTATATAGAAAACGCTAATTCTGTCTATCTGTGTGTGTCACGAAATAATAGCGTATTTTTTAATATGATAGGGTCGGTGAATTGGTACCAGACTTGTCTGGGAGGATAAAAACACTGACTTGAACATCGGCTGGCCCCCGCAAGTCATTGTATAGGCCACATCGCATTCAAACGCCACTGCGAATGTACAAATGGAAGTAGAATGCGTGCCGCATCCCAAAAAGGGATTGATCAACGGCAAATGCTTTTTATCCTTTTTTATTTTATTTCTCTTCTTCATTAAAGGTGTCTGGCACCAGACAGCCGAGATCGAGGGATGGTGCTCGATGGCGGAGAGGCAGATCAATATGCGGGACTTGTTGGTGACGATAGCGCTCAGCCATTTTAGCATTCTGGTGCGTAATACGAGAATGCCAATGGTGTGCGTCTTGTGTTTCACAAACATGAGTGAATTACCTCAGAAACGTTGAATTTAGCTCTCGGATGTGTAGTATTAAAAACAACATGACTCCTCAAGAACTCATCGGTAATCTCATCAGGGTTCCTGCAATGAGGATTATTTATTGTATGATAAACAAAGCATAGCGTAGGCAGAGCAAATGACGAAACAGTTTGGAACAGGTACATGAAAAAGGCTAAACTAACGTCTCTACAGTCCATGCATTTTTCAGACGTCGATGAATACCTCTTAACCCGGAATGGATGTTGAACAATTCCTTCTTCGACTGATTAATGATGATTTTGTGACCTTGCCTTGGTCGAATCCCATTGGAATTCTGGAAGGAAATATCTAAATGAACTGGAAACCACAGAAACGGCTTTAGTGGAGTTAATAGATAAACGGGGATGCCTTTGAGCAACGTAGTCAGATATGAAATTCAAAGCGACGGCCACCCGAGAGTGTTGAGTTTATTGGTGTGTTTTTGGAAGCCTTAACTGCTTATACAAATGCAGGTGATTTAGGTGTCGCCAAGCAGGCAGGACGAACTGATTATCATTCCCTCTGACCAATGCACTAGGCAGGCACGCTACGATCCCCCCAATATGTCGCATCAATCAGAGGAAAAGGCAGTCTTATTTCTCAGTGGAGCTCCTGCTAAAATCCTCATGGGCTACCTATCTGGGGCAAGCCATCCATTAAGATCCAGTAAGATGCGTCGAAGGAAGAAACAGCTGGAGTCCAATCTGCCTGGGGTCCACTTCCACCATTTTTTGCTCAAGTAGTCACATGAGATTGGCCCAACGCTCGGTGAACAGGTTCTTAAAAAGCCGTTCATTCTGCTCAACTAAAAGCGGTAATTCAAGCTTTTCCCAATCCTTGGCAGCGTTCCCAAGGTTTCGCACATTCGTCGGAAACACCAAAAAATGCCGTTCATCAATATGTGGCCGGATGGGACGTCCTTGTAATGTTGCTGTAGCCTGAGCATAGTACGCGCTAACATCAATGGAGAAATAGCTGATATGAGAGCTTTCGATTTTAGGCCACAGGATGTTTCTCCACGAGTCCCAAACCGGGTAAGGACATTTCTGGAAACCTCAATTCTCACTTCATCTTTGCGAAGAGCTCATCAAATCCTTATCACAACTGAACTTTCCTTTGAAAAATTTCACGCCGCCTACTTGGCTCTGCCTCCTTTGACGTCGCAATGAGGGCCCTACGCCAGTGCTAATATGGTGGACGATTCAGATGTTGTTAACTGAATTTTTTGAGTTAATGGACAGCTGATTTTACAATCAGAACATATAAATATGCTACAGATCTCATATCATTATTAACATTATGAATCATTACCTCTACGGTTTGTTCCTGAGCATAGCGAGGATTTGTTCCGAAATCAGTCACTGGAGCCATTCGGGCTCAGTAAAAATTCACGGCTTGAATTTGGCTAGTGCCCTGAACAGCTAGGGTGCATCCTTAAATAGGAAGTACTCAGATAGGGCACTCGAAATCTGCCAATACAGTGAAAACGAAATCATAAAATACTCCCCCGTCAGTTATAGACAAAATCTCTGGGCGCGCCCAGGGTCGTCATGGCGACCACGGGGACCATGTGTATTCATACTAATGTGAGCTGTAAGGCGGCTGTCAACGACGACGGCATTTGACGCGTACCCTGATAAACAATCTTGTGAAAGCTCTTAAGCGCATGTACTTACGGTTTTACTAGCCCTGAAATACTCCAAATCCTGCTTTACTACTGTAGCGCATAAGCGCTTAGTTGGGCTGACAAATCCAGTGGCTTTCTGAGCAGAGTCCCCAGTGCAGCGAAAATTTTGCGTACACTCTATTTTTGCACCTTTTCTAAGCAACCTTACAAGTTTCACTGGAGCTGGAGATCGAGCGCTTCCCAGTCTATGGCCGATCCTACCGGGCTAAAGGCTAAGAAGAAAAAGAAATGATGTAGATCGAAGGAAAAACTGCTAGTGCGTCCAGCAAGAGGTCGGTTTGAACAGCTAGCAAAATTACTAGAACTGCTGAAAATCAGCAACAGGTTATGTGCATCTATGATGTTCAACAAGGACCTTAATAGGTCCGGAACATGGATGAGAATTGCACTGATGGTGCTGCACAGGTGACCGTTGTGAATTACGTTGTTATTGCCGTAGCTGTGAGTTATAGTACTGCCTCGAGGTTGTCATGATGGGGATTATTATAATTTGGCCAACGCTTCTGACCGCCCCTTCGTCTTCAAAGGCTTGTTCCACCAGGAAGTGCTCCACTTTTGGAAACGATAGGAACAGTCGAAAGTTGGCTAAATAAATATTTCCACCATCCTAACAACCTTGAAGCAGAAGTACAACTCACAATCACAATAACAACTACCATTTCAAGATGAGAGGCATCTGAAGTTACTGCGAATTTGGTCGTATCTGAGCCTTCTGAACAAACATGTGAAGGTATTCTCGCCATGGGCAACCTGAGGAATTTCGTTTTTGTGTAGTGATGAAGTGCTTACAAATTGAGTCATTGCATCGTTGACAGAAGAGGAAGAGGTCGTGGAATGTGCAGCAAATCCATTGAGGCTGTTTTGATCATGCGTGAGACGACACTGACGGAATACGATTTACCTCGCCGTTTTGACCACTGCCATGGGCAGTACGGAGTCCACATTGAGACTGATTGTATTACGCATTCCATAGTTGATTGAGACATTTTCATATTGCTATTTGATTAGTTTCTAGTAGGTTGTTGCATTATAAATGTCGCACCAGATTTAGCTTCACCCTACTCGGCTGTTCGAACATCCAAAGGTAGTTAAGCATTTCTTACGGAAGAGGAAATCTAGGAGTACAAAAGCGGCTACTCGCTGCCCACATCATTTGCTATTTTTTACATGAACCCTTGTTTTAAACGATAACTGACCGAAATTTCCGTGTGTACACGTCAATATTCTACGACATCTTGAGAGCTCACACATTCATGGCTAGTGCCCGTAAACAAAAATCGACCTACATTAAAGGACGAATTCACGCTGAAAGATCAACCCATTCCAAATTAATCCTAGGGATGGTGATTGGTACAAAAAAGTGGGAAAAACCATGAGAAACGGCACAAAACCCGAGAAACGGTACCTCTTCCGTGTCCGTTGATTCGAGCGAGTTATTACTGCCCTCTTCAACACTACGCTCTCTCATCTAATCACTCGCCACGTATTGAACTACGGCGAGTGATCAGATGATCGGTGGGCGGAGATCGCCGGACCCGCCAGCTTTGAGGCATGATAGGTCGCCGAGGTCAAATTTTTCCATGCGAATTGCGCGTCAGTTCGCACCAGGAGGTCCGTGGGGTCCCTCAACTAGGTCAGTTTCCCTTTCTTCGACCTTCATTCTAATCGTGAAAATTCCTCCTTTAAAGCATGCATTGGCTCGGCGAGAAAGCAAGACAATGTTTTTATGAAGCTACTTCACGACGAAAAAACTGCGTTTTACAAAAAAAATCACCAGCAAAAAAAGTGCGAGATTACGCTGAAAGCATTTTTCTTCTTCGCCAAACAGCTCTTGTCACACTCCATGTGCTGCGCATCCTAGTCAAGCGGCACTTTTTTAAGGATAAACAGTTCAGAAATTACAAGAAATTCGGAATGTGGTTGTCAATGTTCACAGTAGCTACGATTCTTCGAGAAGGAAGTCGAGTCTCTGCGTGAGGAATGGCGAAGCCTGGCACAATAAGGTAGTATCCATCTCTTCTTCTGAGATGCCGAATTGTTGCTGTTCCAACAAATTTTGTGGTACATCCAAAAGCGACATTTAAAATGCAGCTGCCTAACATATGCCGAATCACGCGGCCACGTTTTTCATTTGCCATACTACACCAGCTCTGCCCGATCTTCTTCGTCAAATCGTGTCCTATCGAGTATAAAGAATCCTCGTCTTGGTCGGCTCATGTCTGGAATCCATATCGGCCCATAGTACTTCTTAAAAGCCTCCTCGGTCACTTGTTCAAGGCAGGGTCACTATAGATCCTTAGTAAAAATCTCTCTGTGAAACCTGGCAGGACCTCCAGGTACAATATCTCACTCGAGTGGATCAGAATTGTGCCTTATATATTTTTTTGTATTCAAGTAACTCCTAGCTGTACAGCTCGTCTGTTAAACTGTAATTGTCCGATATAGGTTTGATTATCTTTTTCTCTTCCCGCTTAGTAAGTGTACAACAGCCGCACAGAGTTTGGCATATTTTTTTCAATTCATCTAACCTGAACGCCTTCTTAAAAACAGGTCCCACCGTTTAACAGAAACTCATGAAAACTTCCATCTTCATACCTCAAAAAGAGAGTTGATGTTTAGAGGTACCCATACATTGCACTCGATGTCGCACTTGCCATGCATAATGCTACCTTTCCCGCATCACTAAAGAGGAGCAAGCTCGAGGCAGAGCATTTATCGACGGCGGACATTCGAAGCGAGTGTTGCAGTTTTTCTCGGCGGTATCCTGACTTCATGAGCGGTCCCGATCAGTACGGAACGATAAGCAGTCTTGGTCGCCGAATGGTGGCGTCGCCCGGCCGCGCCGGGGCCGCCTGGGTCGGAGCGACCAAGAGCGGAGCAACGTCCAGCGAACCAGCGCGATGGCACAGCCCCAGCTCACCTCGCCACCGCCACGATGGCATGAGAGCCTGTGAAAGTGTCGAGAGAAGGCGCGAACAAGAGGGTTCCGCAACTTTCACACACTTTCGAGTTGCCGGCGAATCGGTCTAAGCGTTGGTGCATGCTCGTATCGTTGAGCATTTTCTAGCTTCCGCGAGATTCTCAAAGTGATCAGGACAGCGGATTAGGAGTTTTTTTCCTTTCTCCTTTTTCAAGAAAAAAGGGCGCTCGCTATCGAGTACGACGGAGAGTTTGAGCAAGTTTCGGATTGAAATGTGTGATAAGGTACTTCCGATAAAATATGCTTTATGTGAAACAAAGGAGAGAAAAGCAGTAAGGAGAGCTGCCATGGAAAATGAAAGAATCGTGAAGGAGCTATGAAGGTAGCTTCAAGGTTGTGAAAGGTAACATGATCGAACCTCTTGGTTTGCCATGGAAAAGAGCTCAACTTGGCAAATTAATGGCTGTTACGGTACTTCACGATTCACAGCTCCACATTCTCATTGATTATAGATGATCTGGAGCCATAGAATGAGTTTATCAAAGGTGGACCTAACGGCAGAAACCGATTACAGGAAAGACCAATGTGAGCCGCTACTAGGTTTGGAGCGACTCCATTTTGATGGAATTCCCTTGCGATTCGATGTGCCATTTGCGTCCTGGAGTAGCACGATTCCTCCTCTTTTCACGTCAGTTCAACTTCGACAGTATGGAATGTTCTTCAAAACCGATTTTATACATTTCGTCAACGCCGCCGACGTTCGCATATTCTCATGCAGGATAACTGCAGGACGACTGTACGTGGAGGTCAGTAAGCTTTGGATTGGATTGCATGTAAAAGTATTGCAGTTCTTGAGTGGCTTATATGTCCTCTCTTCTCTCTTTCAATCGAATAGAAAACCCTTTTTACTTTTATGGTGAAGAAACCCCGATAAGAGATGTTGAGCAATTGTAAAGCTCATTCAGCTTATTATTGAGGCTTGGATCGATTTGGGTTCCATTATTAGGCCTGTGCTGAAATGCCAAAGGGCATTACATAGGTCCTTGTGACAAAGCAGAACCAACGCTGTTGGAAACATGGATTGCTGTATTTGTTATGGTTAATATTCTATTTAGTACAATTTACTTACACTTGCGGAACGATGAAAAACTGCTTGGGATAAGGTATTTGCCTCAAGCAAATTTCGAATTGTTTCTTCATTTAGAGGGTGGGGCAAAATTACTGGTGCATCAATATTTCATTAGTGTTTTGGGACTATCTTTCATCAATCAATTTTAATCACGAATATCATTTGTAGAAAGGACGTCAATTCGAAATATATCAACTGTTCTCAAATTGATCACGTCTAGTCTCCACGCCGCTGCTCTTCAGACCTTTGGCAGACGGACCCTATGCGGCACGCCGGTGTTTTCCATCAGTTTTGTCCTAAGATTTTAAGAGCGCCGTCATAATAGAGTTCAAATTCGAGTATGATAGAGCAAACTTTACTCTCCAAAGAAGATCATACTTGAAATTATTTCGGTTTATTACGGAGAATTGGAGAGCCATTCGTCAAACTTGATGAAGTTGGGATCTGCTCGGCACACTGCACCTGGACACTCCTCCCTCGCTGTCTTGAAGCAAAGCCGCTGCTGAATGCGCTCATAACCCTCTTTAAAGTGAAGATACGCATATAGTTATTAACAAATACCGAGTACGGAAGCTGTTGCACACGATTTGAAAATTTGAGAAATCGACGAAAACACGTTTGCACAGCGCTCTGAT